AGTTCGAACTCACTTTGTGGTCATGAGGGAAGAAGTCCCAGATCTTGGCTGTTTTTTCCCCCTCATCGCTATTGACCTTTGAAATTCAAGGACTTAGTGCCATAACCCCAATAGAATTACTTTCCATCAGAATTTATTACCTGGTGTCTGCACTGGAGTGGTTCTTCCTAATATACTAAAACGGGCCTTTATTGGTAGACAGAGAACTTATTCCTCCTCATTGACTGAAATCCTACACAGAAATCTAACTTTGCTTTGTGCCTCTCTGGGATGCCAAAGAAAAATTACATATGTGAGGAATCCCATCCAAAACTGGCCATATGCTCTTCTCTTTTGTACTGATCACTTGTTGGTGAATGATGTGGTAGCTCTCTAATGGACTAATGGAACACGATTTGGTGGATCTTGGGTGGAGAAACAGCTTTTGTGTTAAAATTTAAAGGTGGCTTAATTGCTTAATTCTTTATTTTAATTTGACCTGTAGTATGTTAGACCAGTATATATTGCTGGCAGTGAAATTCATCCTAGTCTGATCCTGAATTCCCACTGCCAGTCCTCCTGGTATATTAACAAACTCTTGCTTTATTTCTCTATAGGATGCAAAAACTTGTGAAACCGTCACCTGATAAGAAGTATGTGGATTTGACAGTATCATTTGCTCCAGAGACTGATGGAGAAGAAGACTTGCCAGGGCCCCCTGTGAGATACTACTTCGTTCAGGAAGACAATTGATGGTAGAGGCACAGAAGTCACTCATGGACCATTTGTTCTCAAAGGAGTGTGCTAATTTTCAGCTATTAAAGATGGTACTATGTATTTCTTTTTGGTGAAGCCTTAATTAAATGGTGAAAATCAGTGACTTTGCACTGAAGACAAACTGGATTTATGTCTCTTCTGCTCCTGTTTTCTTCAAACCTGTTCGCTCAAAGGAGGATTGGTCACTGTGAGATGGAATGTCCAGTACAGTCCTTACCTTAAGGACAAGAATTGTATTGATTTGCAGGGAGCTGAAGAAAGCAAGAAGAATGGTGAACCTAACAAATGGTCGCCGTATGCAAATTAGGCACTGCTTAGAGAAGAGTGCAAAAAATGGGGAAACCACCATTTTATGCTCCTGGTGTTCTAAGAACATCTTAAATCCATTTCATATGTTACTTAATTCTTAAACAAGAATTTCATTCTTGCCATCTACACATGAGATTTAATCCATTCAAAAGGCTTAGCCTCCCACTTAAGAGCAGACAAACTGCTTTGTTGTGTCGTTGGTTAGTGGTGCTGTGGCCAGAGCAGCTATCTTATGTCAGTCTCAAAATGGAAACCCAGGAAACAGGTGTAAATTGTCAAAACTCCGCTAAAGTCCAGAGAGATGGAATTGTTGATTATCTGCACCGAGACTGTTCTTTGCAGAATACTGCAGTATGGGGAAAATGAAAACCTATCGGAGAGCTGAATTAGCACGTTCAACAATAAAACTTTGTCTTCAAGAAAGAGAAAATGTGATTGAGCCTTTCTGCCCTCACCAAATTAAAATCACTATAGCACATGGTGACTTCAAAGGGAGGAAAAGGCAAATGTCTCTGGATGTTTGTCATACCAAACTCCTTTTGGTAACCATTTCCTTATAGTGGGTGGTTCTGCTGTACACATGTCCATAGCCCAAGTCTGACTTGCACTGAACACAGTTTTTTATCATCATCAGTCAGTTTCTGGGATGTTGAAGTGTAAAGATCCTGTTTATTTGGAAATCATTAGGGACTAGATTTGTTGCAGTGAGGCAGAGGTGTGGTACAGAAATGTCATCACTTAACTATCATTTAAACACCAGATACTTGAGCTGGTAGTTCTTTATTTCTCACCACCATGGTAGAGTGAGGCAAGGTTAGAATACAAACCTATAAACTGGAACTTGTACATCAAGATGTATGGAACTGAATACCTGGAATCAATATAATTGTTTCAATATTTTGGATTCAGTCTTGCGTGTGTGATGTCTTCTGGATGGTGTATATAATTTTACAGTCAGTGTACTTTATGGATATAATTTTCTAGAATAATAATACTGCTTTTTAAACTACCTAACTTCATTTTTTTATGAACTTCTTTTAGAGAAACTTTTTGAGACAGGAGAAAAGGTGGCTAGATTTAGAGTGCAGAGGAAGCACAAGCAGACAATAAGTTTCCACTTCTAAATAACAACTAAAATATGTTTCACTGTGGCAGTATTAGAATCTGAACTCTTACCTGAAGTCACTATTTAGTGCTAAGGATCACTTAATGGTTTAGATGAAGTTGAAAGCACCGTCACCTCTCACGCTTGGAGATTGAGAAACAAATGAAACTTTGAGTAAGTATACTCTGGTGTGTTAGTGTGGTGTCAACATCATGCTTATGCTTTTGAAATAAGCGGCACATAAAAATAGTAAAGTCTCAGTACATTTTTAGAATGCCATATGACTGTCTTCAGGGTTTAAAGTAAACTTTCAGATATAATTAATAGAGTGGCTTTTATTAATGACAATGCATACAACTTTGAGACCCTTGTCAAAAAGGGCAGGTCAAGGCTGGCTGGGATCACAGCCCAAATTTACAGACATGGCTGTATCTCTGTGCTGCTCTTATTGTGTGTATCTGTTGGATGAGTGTCTGTTCTATGAATGGGTTCTCCTCAGTTAAAAAGCTGCTTATGGAAAAATTGACAATGCACAATGGCTCTAGATATTAGCAGACCTTTAAAATTTTTGGATATAAGTTATCTAGGTAAAATCTTAAAACTAATAACTTCAAGAGGACTTTATATAGGAGAACTGTGCATGTCAAGTGGCTCATTTAAACTTTTTATGTTTTAAACCTTTTTGAACTGCTGATACAGTGAGTGAATGTATTTATATTGAAGGTTTTGCAGTGGAGTGGGCTGATTCTGTGTGAATTTGTATTTGATACAGCCCGTTTCTCAATCTGTTCCTGCTTTTTATCAAAAGTCTCAGCAGATGCTCAGCATGATGGCACAAAGGGTTCAATCAGACTGGGAAAGTGAATTTTGGGGTGCTGGTCTTCCAGATCTTCAGCATTGTCACTACCAGTGCTACCAAGCTAGAGGCTTGTAGCACTACGTGGAATCTAAGAACTGCTTTTTCTCTTTGGTGTGTTTTTGCTTTGCTTTTTTTTTGTGTTTGTTTGTTTGTGAGGTTTTTTGTGGTTTTGTTTTGGTTTTTTTTCATTGTAATGAAAGACTGTGTTTGTCTAGGACTATTTGACGCTCTATTCCTGTGGAGCTAGCTTTCTTCCTGCAAAATTGAAGAACTGTCTTTCCACTAGAACACTTTGAATAGCTTTCTTTCATAATGTTATTCTTTGAAGGAGCAGTTGATTTTTCAGGGGTGAAGTTTTATATCAGCATTGAAGATCTTTCTTACTCAAATGCTTTCTTGAAGAGTTTGCTCATATTTACACTAGCTTTCCTGGAGTTTCTAGCATCCTTAATATAGATTCAGGAATGTTTGTGCATGCAAAGCAATGCAAACAAACTTAGCAGCCCTCTCAGCTGTTCTCTGTGGTTAGTCAAGGTGTTTCTTTAATTTTAGGAGTAGTGAGGATTTTTTGTGAAGATCTTGCTACTGTTACCAAGACTGCTTTGGTGTATCTGATGGATTTACCTATATCATGAGTAAAAAGTAGATGTTTCCATCTTATTTTCCCCCCCTTTTCCTATGTAGGATAAATATGTGAATGTTTACTAAAAAACCACAACAAAACAAACCAAAAAGCTGTTCAAGAATAGTGACTACATAGAAAGAACAACTCTGGCACCATTTGGATCTTTGCAAATGCAGAAACCCTGTCACCCTCATCATGGCATCTAAAGTCCTGAAATAATGTGGGTTTGAGGTAGGCAAAGAGTTTGTATATCTGTCTGAGTTGTCAAACACCAGTAAAGGTTGTTAATTTTTCTTTGCGTCTTTGAAACAATGTGGCTGTAGGCCAGTTGTTTGAAGAAAGGAAGGTGACATTATCTTGAAAGGTTTATCAATCCCAGTTAATTATCCCCTGTCAGTGCAATTACAGAAAGCGTATGTGCAGCACAGTGCATCAATCTAAACCTTTCTCCAAAGGATGATAAATTTTGACCAGAGAGCTTTTGAGCATTTATTTTAATTTAAATGTATCTTTTGTGTGGTTGTTGAAGTAGCTAATGTGGGTGCTTATCCATGGTGCAGAAAGCTTATTGAGACTCAAGCTTAAAAGTGTCCTGAGTTACAGCATTGATGCCAGCAAAACTGTCTTGCTAGTAAGTCAATAATTTTGCATGGCAAAAGTGAGATCCAGCAAAGTATTTAAGTTCCCACTTCTCCCAGCAACACGCAAGTTTCAATTTCACAGTGAGGAAAAGCTGCAACTCTAACTTAATGTACACGGAGCAGCACCGGGTTCACAAAGTGACCTTAAGTATTTTCATGAAAAGAAAGCACAAACTTCTCATGTTATGTTGTACTTTCGTAAAAACAGTGGGCCTTCCCCATAGTGGTCAGATAGAACAGGGATGGTGTACTAGTCACAAGTGTGCAGTAAAAACCCTCACTTAAAACTATATTTTTGGGCAGCGTTTCGCGGCCACTGTAAGGCACCGCGCCCTCATGTTGTCAAGCACTTGTTTTTTTGCTCAGTGTTAAGTTCTTCACTAACGTTTTAAAGAAAAAACTGCAGCTCCCCGTAGTGACAGTGGCCACTTGGAAACTCCAGAATTTGAACTGGCGTTTCCCAGGAGAGGACAAAGAAACGGGACCCGTCGCCGTGCAGGTCCCCTTAAGGAAGGGAAGGGAAGGGAAGAAAGTAGCCCAGGCCGGAGACAGCCCCCGCTCCTGCGCAGGCGCCACAACGCGCGCGCCAAAAAGTAGCGTCCCTGGCTGGCGCGCGGCGGCCGCCGACCAATGAGGCGGAGGCGGGGGGGCGTGGCCGGGGCGCCGCTGTCCCCGCCGGCCGTGGGCGCGCGCGCGGCGGGAAAGGTGCCCGGGTTCGAAAGCGGCGCGCGGGGCGCGCGCGAGCCTCGGCCCGGGATGGCGCAGGCCTTGGTGAGAGAGTGCGGGGATGGCGGGGGTGTGTCTGTCTGTCGGTCTGTCCGCCTGCCTGTCGGTCTGTCTGTGCGCTGTGTTGTGGGCAGCAGCCGGTCCCTTCCGGAGAGCCAGAGGTGCGGCCCCCGGCGCGTTCCCGGGGGAGGGGCGGGGTCGTTCTTCCGCCCCACCCTGGGGTCTTCCGCTTCTCCCTGAGGAGCGGGAGGTCGGGGTTGGCGCACCGCGCCCTCCGGGTTCGGGTCCCGGCCCCTTGCACAGACACTTGTGCTCCGAGGGCTAGTCTGTCGGGAGCCCCGTTTCCCTCAGGCTGCCTCTGGAGAGCCGCCTTCCATGGGCGAGTGAGCGCGTACAGAGCCGGACACTTGTCCAGGCGCGCCACAGTCGTGCTCATCTTGAGTTTTAAAACTCTTCATGTGTAGGACAATGCGAACACACTCATAAATGAACTGTTCAAAGCTCCGTTGCAGGAGGTTTTCAGTCTCTCTAGTGCGAAAGACTGCGTGCCAGTGGATTGTTCTACACTGCTGCAAGGGGAAGAGGTTTAAGGCCGAGTGTCAGATTGACTGGAGTGTGCACAGTTTCTGAAGGGGTGGCTTTTGGTCAGTTGTTTTCCCGTGTGACCTAGAGTTTCCTTCTGCCTCTTAAGGCTGATATTGAAAGTTTCCAGTGCAATCAATCCATATGTGGTGTTGGTTATTTTTGTTACCAGAAGTAATATTCAAAGAGGAATCATAAAGTGCAAAGTACTGTCAGTATAGCAAACTTCAGAAAAACGAGCTGAATTCCGTTGTGTTAAGACTAGATAATCTCCAAGCTGCACATACTTTTTAAATTTACACAAATGAATAAGAGGTCATAGTTGTTTTTCAACTAAACATTTACATTTTTTTAGATGTTTTCCTATCACATCTGTGGAAAACTGCACTCTGCTTAGCGCTTGAATTTTTCTAGACCTTTCTTCCCATTTGTATCCTTGCTGTTCTTTGCCTGTTTCCAGGTCAGCAGCTTTATTTCATTTGTTGGTGTAGAAGGTAACACTGATAATATGTTGTCGTTTGAAGTATTACTGCTCCAGTTGTGGTAGTAGATGACTGGAATCATGTTTTCTATTTGAATGACTTTGATTATATTTGGTTTTCAAATGTGTGAGGTGGCACTGGGACTTAACTGAGGCTGTAGTTTTACCAAGGCACAGCGATGTGATCTCACTGCCTGTCAGTGTGGTCGTGCCTGTGGCAAACAGGTAAGAACCATCACGTGAGCAGTTAACACACAGCAGAGGATGTTTGGTTATGTCCTGGCTTGCTTTGTGGTAGATCATTCCTCTTCCTTACTTTAAAGATTAGTCATTACACTTGAGTAAATGGTAACCAAATCCTTACATTCTCTGTGATTTCTGTCACGTAAGTCTCCTGTAAGACTCTCTGACTTCAAATGCAACACATGCTTTGATGGTTCTTGTGGAAAGCTGAATTTCTGGCAGTTGTTACAGGGGTTGTAGCTGCTGTGGCATTCTAAGGAAAACAGGGCTGCAGTAACTCCCACTCTCCCACTAGTTTACGATGGCTGGAGAATGCTTGATATTTACTTACTTGTTTTCCTGTCAAGTGTTATTACGCCTAGTAAGAACTTATTCTTATTTCTTCACAGAATCATTTAAAAAAAGACTACAGAGCAAGATTCTGCCATGGAGGAGGGTAATTTGCATTTAAAATTTTATTCTTAGATTCTGGAAAACTTATGTGGATTTTTATCTGAGAGCATAATGTCAAAGCTATATGGTGTATCCTATTAATCCGATCATACGATGTTTCCCAAATTTCTTGTATTTCTTAGTGGTGGGAGGAGCAAACAGTGCTGGGGGACAAAGCCCCAAGGTTTTCCTTTGTTTCCTTTGCTGAGGCAGCAAACTATGGTGTTGCTATACCAAAGGTGCTCCTAACTAGGCTGCCTTTTGAGAAGTAGAGAAACGAAGCCCAGAGTTCCAGCGTATTTGGACCTTGCTGGTAAATGCTAGAGATGAGCTGGAGTATTTGTAGTGCTGTAGCATTCTTTAAAGGCATGTCAGAAGCCTGTGAAGTTCTTGTTGCTGGAATCCATTTTTAGACTTGCATTTCACGAGCTTACCAAATCTACCAAATCAGCTGTGTATAATGATCATTATGGGAGTAATACTCCATGTCTTTTCTAGTGTTATTTTGGTTTTGATCAACATTGTCTGGCTAGTGAATCACTCACTTCTGCCCAAAAAATGTTTATTTCAAGAGAGACTTTCTTCATCCCAAAGCTCTTTTACCTCAGGGAAGTAGTTGTGTGTTTTCTTTTATGTAGAGAGAATTCTTCATTCTCATCATAATCTGTGGCAGTGAGGCTTTTTTCCCTGGAATTCTTATTTTGACAAGTTTCTTTGCAGATATCTATGTGTGGAAATGATAGGTAAAAGTATATTGAAACTGAGACTAGAGGAAATAATAATTTAAAATATTGAGAAGTAAGAACTTTGCTGCTTTAATATTGCTGGGATAAGAACATTTGATATTTTTGATTTAAAATATTTTTTTTTCCTCTTCTTTCTAGAAGTAAGATTGATGTACAGCCAGGTCAAAACGTACTGAAACTCATACAGGATTGTTTTGAAAGTAAGCTCTTATTTGATGTTTTACTCAATTTGCTGGTAAAAGAAGAAATAATTTCTTCTTTATATTATATTTAGTGGTAAGTAAATAGAAATAAAAATTAGAGATAAAATGGATAAAAATAAAGTTTTTCTCAGGGTCTTGAAAAGCACCCCTTTCCCACCTGCTTGAAACTGTGTCTTAGCTGTCTTATAAAGGTAATCTTTCCGGAGTAGCTGATTCCTTTCTTGTTTGGATTTATGTGACCTTAACAGCTGTAGCAACTTGTTAAAATAAATGAGACCTGGACAATTCCAAGATCCCCATACTTACAGTGTTTTCTTCATAGGTTGCAGCAGTGATCTTACAATAAACTCTCCAAATGCAACCCTTTGCTCAGCTCCTGTTGTCAAAAATAGGAAGAGGACTTCAATGCGGAGCCAAAGCGTAAGTTAGTTATGGCAATGTCACAGTATAGCTTTGGGTACAGTTTCACTGGGGTACAAATTTGGTTCTGTAGGATTTAGTTCTGTATGAGCATTGAAGAAGCTCCATATGCCACTTGTAACAGTATATAGGCCACAATTTAACCATCTGTAATAGTTGTTGATAATGTTTTTTTTTCTTAGTTTGTTGTGCTCTAACAGTAAATATTCTGTAATTAGATTTGTTTAATAGCTTATTTTCCAGGTTTTTTTCTAGTGAAAGCTTTTTCAGCTTTTTGTCCAGGACACTCTAAATTTTTTATGGTCTCAGGTCGGAGCACGCTGCCTTATTGCTGCTGGTGGGTATGGCTGTCTTGGACTCCATTGGAGTTGGTTTTGGCCACTTTGCTAGATATATGGACACAGTTCTTAGCTAAATGGTGAACAGTAGAGTTGAAAGGTGATGCTTGTACAAAAGCTCGTTAACTCCTGATAGTTATCTGTACAATAACTTTATATATATGTATCTTTCTTGAAGAGTGGAAACAAGTTGAAGGCCTTGTTAGTGTGCTGGGAAAATGATGCCAATACTCTAGTTTGTATATTTAATTTTAATGTTTTGATTCTATTTTTTTTAAATAGGATATTCCATTAATGGCAGGGTTGAGAACAGGCATCCTTTATAATGGTGTTTGTTTACTTTAGTTTGATGTTAGAATACCATATAGTGTCAAATAATTTCTTGCAAAACCTCAACCTGTCTTAAGAAAGGTGAATTAAATTGTTTAAAATAATTCATTCTAATGAAAAGAATAGCTTGCCTGGAGACTAGCAGGATGCCTGTTTAAAGCTGCATATAGATTTTTGCTGTACACACTGTTTTTCCTGTTATTTGAAATTTATAGTTACTTCTAGAAAGTCTTACTTGATAGAAAGTTGAAGTGTTTAGTTAAAATAGAACTGTGATTCACATGAGTGTGATTTAAGGGAAGGAAAGTATATCATGTTCTGTAGAAATTTGTATTCCTGTCAAAATACTGTTGCTTAATCAACTATTTTACTTTGTCTCATTATTTGTTACCAACTATGACAGCCAAAGGCAGGATCAACCAACTCTGTGAAAAGAGCCTGTTATTCTCCAGAATCCTCACCTACATCACTGCTAAAACCAGTCAGCAGCAGAGGTTGGTCCCACTATTATTGAATTAAAGGGTTTTCGGGGGTTTTTTTGTAAGGTTTTGAGTAGAGGAATTAAACCTGTTCTATATATATGGCAGGACAGTCATATGAATCACCCTTGAAGCCTGCAATACAGGATTATGTAGATGTTTCTAAAAAAACAGAGTCTCCTGTGTCTGAAAGCAAAAAAAATACATTAGAAGATGTTGAAGTGCTGTGCCAAAGTCCTGCCATGGTTTTGGACCCTGAGGATGATCACGGTTCTGTTGGATCACCTTTTCCTGTGGAGAAAGGGAAAAGTTCTCCTGTACTTAAGTAAGTAGAGCTGAACATGGCTGTGGTGTTACATCCCCTGTGTGCCCTCCACCTTAGGGTAAATCAACACAGTGGTTTCCATCGTTTATAAGTTTAGATTGTGAACTCATAAAAAATAATTCCAAGCTTTTTAGAAAATTTCCATAT